CCCCCCCTCCAAAGCTCAGGCAAGTTAGGCCACAGAAACCCACTGGGTAACCTTGGGCATGTCACACTCTCTCAGCCTTAGAGGAAAGCAAAGGCAAACCCTATCTGAACAATTGTGATAGGTTTGCTTTAGGGTTGTCATAAGTCAGAAATGACTTGAAGGCACACAATAACAATAACAACTAGACCCATGTGAGAGACAGGCATAATTGGATTCCTGCTGTTAAACTGTTCAATTTAATACCAAAACAATAAACCCATAAAACCATCCAGAACATCAAATTTCAAATGGACATTCTTGCCCATTTAGTTTATTTGCAAATGAGACATTTGAAGATTCTCACATCTGGGCTGAGGAGGTGGCAAATTTCTCAGCTCATAAATACAAATTTAAAGGGCATGAGAAAACAAAAATCTTTATGTTTATCAAACTGCATGGAATGATTGTCATGTCCTTACTCTTAGTATGCTTTTATGCCTAGACTTCAAAAGTTTGATGCTCACTTGATGCACAGCTATAGCTCTACAAAATATACTTTAAAGTCAATAGATGTTTCCTGAATCCCAAAAGAGATTTATATTTCTGATTTTATTGTGTGTGGTTTTTTTTTAAATCATCTATCTAGATTTTATGGACATCGGACAATCAAATGTTTGAGAAAGCTTTGACTTGCTTTCATGATAAGCAGTGATGAAAACCTAGATTTTTATGTAAAGTGGTAAAATACATATAAAATGGGAGAGTTATATTTATTTGAAAATATAGTGTGCTGTGCCTATGAAATTCACTACACAGCCCTGATTGAGTAAGTACACCCAAGAATAGGATTTTGAGTAAGTACACCCAAGAATAGGATTTTGAACAAGGTATGAGTAAGTACTTAGAATTGAATAAGTACACCCAAGAATAGGATTTTGAACAATGTATGACTAGTGTATTTTTTAAATTAAGAGCTTGATCCTGTGTCCACCATGTGCCTTTACTATCAGTAATTTCAATTAATACTGAACCATGTATTCAGCATTTCTTTGACTAAGCCTCAAAACAAATTAAACAGATGATCCTTCACATGGCTTTCAAAGAAATACATTCTTCCAATCTTTAGAACAGGAATGGGATTATCTGAGATCTGCCAGATTTACTCAAGTTTAATATTAGGTTATGGCTCATGTCATCAATAGGCTGCCTATGGGCTATGTCATGTTATCAGTATTCCATAAGCTTTTTATTTAAAAAATGTAGACTTCTCTATAGCCCTATTGCAAATAGGTTTAAACTAGACTTATGAAGAAGGGCAGCATACCAGTCCTGTCTTCTCTATCATCACTCCCCTAGAAGAAACAGTCCAAAGAAGAGAGCCATTGCTATACATGGATGCTCTATCATTAAGAAGAACCACCTAGAAAACTATTTAGAAAGCTTCCTTCACAATTTAGAGACAGAACTTGTATCTCACTTCAGAGTGATAGCAATTTGAAACAGGTTGAGTCTCTCTTATCCAAAATGATTGAGGCCAGCAGTGTTTTAGATGGGGGTGTTGAGATATCCATATTGGCATATACATACAACATGAGATATCTTGGAAATGGCACATAAGCCTAAACACAAAATTCATTTATGTTTCATATAAACCTTATACACATAACCTGAGTATACAAATACCATATTTTAATAATTTTGTCCATGAAACAAAGTTTGCGTACCTTGAACTATGAGAAAACAAGAAGGGAATTGTATGGTTTCTTGTACACCTCTTAGTTGAATCTACCTAGCCATCAGGAAAAAAAAAAGGATGCTGAGGATGTTTAGTCTGATCCAGGCAGATCTGATGTATGTATAAAATCAGAAGATAAGCAAGTAACAATAATGTCATAATTTTTAAATACAAATATCTATACTATTAATGCAATCTTACATATGAAGTTGATGGCATTCAATTTGCTCGGCTTATATTCAGAGAGAAAAAGCTTCCACATTCTATATTCCATATGCATCCTGAGCCTGTGTCAATTTCAGTTTGGCAATAGCCATTTTATGGGACCTAGTTTCTGCTCTCTAGTATTAAAAAAGGTAGCAGGTGTTCAATCAAAATTGTTAATTTATTTGCAGTGGATCTCATATTCTTTAAAAGCAGGTAATTAGAATTATCCACAGATACTTTGAGGACATGAATAATTCATTTCTTGCACATCAATAAAATAATTATTACATATCATCATTCTTAGCTTTATACTTCAATATCACTCACATCATGTCACTGTCAATGTAGTGTGACCTTTTTTATATATTAATAAAAATCATTAATACCATTGGGGAAAGTGTAAGTATCTCTGCTGATGCAGACTGACACTTTAGGCTGGCTGGGGGTGGAGTTGGGGTGGGGAGACTGCACACTGACCACCCTGACTCCACCCTGACTCTGCTCTGATGCAGTGCACCCAACAACATGGCGTGTAGTGTCAGGGCACCTCATTGGTGCAGCATGCAGATAAGCTGTGCCAAAGGGGTGCAAAAGAGCCACAACAGTGGCTCTAAGGGTGGCTTTTTGCCACCCAAAAAGGAGTGGCATTTTCCACTCTTTTGGAGGCAGCAAAAAGGAGCATTGGGGCCAAGGAATGTGGTTGCCACAGCCCCGATACACCCCTCCCAAGGGCAGCACAGAGCCACCTCTTATGGGCCATCTGCATTGGCCCTTAGAGAGGTAGTGACTAAAAGTCCTTACTAGTCATGAAGTAAACATGTAGTATGCAGTAGTCTCAAAGCCCCAAAGAATGTAAGCTTTCTACAGAGGTTTCAAGACAATTTTGCCTTTATTCTTTTAAGGAACTAATTTTATGCTAAGAATGTGGAGGTAATTCCAGTGTGTATACATGTGCATTCCTAAAACTTGTATAGATCTGAAAGGAGTGAACAAGGAAAGTGCTCATTCTGTGCTCTTCCAGTTTGTTTCCTCCCTTGGATTTGGGTTATATCATGCTACAAAGTCAGGCTGCAAGAAATAGGTGAGAACTGAAAATGTTGGTACATGCTTGTGTATGGAATTTGAAATAAAGATATGAGAAACAGGATTAGAGCAAAATCATGGTTACTGAGCTATTAAATATAATGATGTGTCTGCAATGGTATGGAATAATAATTCACTGCTTCTTGACTCTTTCTCATCCAATATAACTATAACCTTGGACAATGACATTGGATGACTTATCCCCCAATTTTCTCCCATTATTTAGGTTAGTGCATCTCAAGCTGTCTGCAGGAAATTACTTTTTCCAACATGCCAAGGATCGGTACCATATTTATTCCCATCGGATGCCATTATTTCTTTGTTTCTTTCACAATTGCCAGGACCAGCAGCCAAAGTTTCAGGGACCAGCACTGGTCTATGGACCACTACTTTGAGTAACACCAATTTCTTCAATATATTACACCCACTACCTTTAGTTGATGAATCTATTGCCTTTTTCTACAACCATCATCACTTATGCTAGCATGGTACAATAACATTCAAAATCCACGAAACAGTGATATCTTTATTGGGCCAACCAAAATGCATAAAATACATGTTTCAAGCTTTCAAAGCTCCAGGAGTTCTTCCAGTACCAAACAGTGACACACACTATAGCATAGGTTTTATAGGTCATAAATGGTAAAGTAGATTGTTCACAGGAGTGAAATATTTTGGCTTTTTTTGCTGATAGGGGCCTTGTCTGCCCTGGTCAGGATACTGTAACTAAACTGAACTCTGTAACTAAACCGAACTACCCCATTACATTGACTTCCATGCCTGTGCTGTGTCCATGTTTGTGCAGGCATCCCACTGGGTCACATGGTACATCCACCACTGCCTCAGATCTCTCACTTCTTAGGTCAGAATGAAGAACCCAGCAATGCTTCCAGTAGTAGCCAGATCTGATGTCACAAGGAACAAGTGTACCTGGAGTGCTAGTTTTACCTGTGAAAATACACTCCTGGCCATAGCAGAAACCTGGGCATCTAGCAGAAATCTGAGCATCAGAGCTGAACCCAGGAGCACACACAAGCTACAATCCTGAGATTTCAGGGAGTGTAACCTGTCTAGGACAGGCAGAGTTACTATTCCAAGAGCACCTCTGTTTTGT